GATTAAATAAATTTCATTAAACAGCACAGACTGTTTGGCCAGAATAAATATGTAGTTGTTAGGTAAAATTTCCTTTCTCTGCAGGGTAATTGTAAATTGCAGTAGGTTTTCAGGCCTATTTGCACCAGCAGCAAGATAAAAGCAAGTACTTTTTTGGTGCCCGGGAGGGCAGAGAAAGAACATTCAGCTCACAAGCTGTGCTTGGTGCCTGCACAGGGAACAAGCAAAGGCAGAGAACACTCTTTGTCACTTGGATGAAGACCCAGTTCAGACATCAAGAAGTGACCCAGATGCAGTTGCAGAAGCAAGTGACACGGAGGTAATGTGCTGCTGCAATTTACTTTTTGCTGCTGGACGTGAGTGTAAGAGCAAGGGTGACACTGGGGAAAAAAGGAAACTCTTCAAAGAACTGAGCTCTTTCACATCTTCCCTTGTCACTGAATCCATCCCTCCAACTAGGGATGGTCAGCCACTGCAGTTAGGTACTCGAATAACTACAGGCATGCTTCTCCCACTGTGGCTGGCCAAAAAACTATGCCCTATTGGCACAGTGATATGTAGAGAGCAGTCCCTGACTCTTAAACTGCTAGGCTTAACCACCCACCATAACTATTCATGAAACTGCACATCCAGATAAAACCTCCAGCTGTTCCTAAAAACAACAGCTCATCAACAAAAGCCAGCATGAGCGCCTCAGGCAAACGCTTTGCTTTTGTGTGAGCTCCCTGTTGATTAAAGCAACCCAAGGCCCCTTTCTGACCATCAGGGCTCACAGAATATTTGGCCACAGCTGAAAGAGAGGTGACTTTCTTCCCCGTAAGCCAAATTGCCGCACCATTTACATTGCTCTCAAATCTCAAAGCTCATAAGTGTCAGGCTCCCTGTGTGGATGCAGGCCCTTCAGAAGAGATGACCCAAGACAGGAGAAGGATCTGTTGCCATTGCTGCTTGCAGGACTGTCGAATGGATGTGGCCAAGCTTTTGGATCAAAAAAACTTTGCTATTACTGTATCAGTGCTGGTTTGCATGTTTACTACCTTGCCCATTTCAGACTTTGCCGAGCTGAATCTTAATAAACATATATTCTGAATGAATTTTTGTTATTGTTGCTTCCTCCCCCTCCCCCTGTCCTTTAAGACTCATTATGTGGAGTCATCAGCTGTTTTGCTTTGTTTCCCATCTGTTCATACAGTACTTGGGTTCTGGGATAACACTGCAGATGGGAGTGCAATTTCCACTGTTTTGATTTTGCCCCAGTGGGGCTTCATGTGGCCACTGGTGGGAAAATTGCAATGGTTTTGATTAAAGATTTTCCATATTATAGAAACTTGTCAATCTCAAAATTTTTAAGATTGCGTCAGTGGCTGGAGTCAGTGGTAGTCTTTTTCTAAGAAGATTATCAATCCTTATCCCCATCTACAATGCCTCCATTCTTTGAAATCAACAAGGACTCTTTTTTGAGAATAAATCTTGTGCAAGTTCAAGTCACAGGGAAAAACCACCCCTGCCTGTGAATGGGAAGAAGGCTGCATTCTGGTCCCAGAAATTGGAACCTAATGAGACTTTGACAGGCAAGTCTAATCTCCCGTAGCCACTTCATATTCAGCTGTTCATATTAGACCTTTCACTTGTGTATCAGTTAGACTGTCATACTGGCACGCTGTTTCAGTCCTCTGATAACTAGCAAACCAACTCTAATTTGCAGCCAAGGTATACTTTGATCAGCTTATACCTATTTGATTCCATGCCTGAGTTGTCCTTTTTCTCAAATACCTGTTTCTCTGTCCCCAGTTTTTATTCCCTTCAAATCCATTTCAACCTTTGCTCTGAGAGACTGAACAAAGCACTGTCTTCTATAGTTTCTTGCTGAAAAAATACGCTCTCCACTCTCCTCAGTCTCCCACAACTCTCAGGTGAACTTGTTTCAATTTATATGCACCTGCCCCGATGATGGGAGCCAAAGCACTGCTGCCAGTCCCGAACTCAGTATACAGGCATGTACCTGCTCCAGCTTCAGCCCCCCCCCCACTGCTGCTTGGTGCTGTGTTTTTTCCTGCTCTGCATTTTGAGATTTATTTTAATTTTCAGGCCATGACTTCAGTTTGGTCTCAGAAACGTCTCGAAAATTCCCTCTTTCTCTCCCTCTGCATTCATTTGCTAACAGAGACTAAGTGGCTACAATAGTTATTCTCTGGATCCATTTCCTGTCACTTCTCTTCAAGATATATAAATCATATCTTGATTTTTCAGCATCTCTGCTACTAAAATTTCTGCACTCTATATTTGGAGTAGGTTGTGCCCAGGGTGACAACAATCTTTAGTTGTAGGGGATGGCAGCACTTCATTCCACAGGGACATTTCTCTGTGGTCACAGTGCAAGACTCAGTTACTATAGCAGCACTGAGCTCAAAGATTAAGAATGCTTTCATACAGTACTGGACCAGTGGCAGCTCAAGCAAGGATGCGCTCGTGTGGTTTTGCATCAAGTGGCCACAGAGTCAGGAGGGGCTGCAACTCTGCCCCATGTCATGCAGCAGGACAGTGCCATAGAAGGGAACAACCACTGTAGCTCCAGACTTCTGGATAAATCCACCTCCCATAAGCACTGCCCTTCCCTGCAGTAGATTACTGGGCAGGTAAACCTGCAGTGATACCTGGGAAGTCAAAGAGAAGAGGACCCATAATTGTTCAGCAAGGCTTTTCATCCTTAAATTGCAGAAACCTAAGAAGGCTCAGTCTTTATATATTTACCCCTTTCAGAGGAATAAGTTGCTAAAAAAAAGGTCAGTGACCTTGACCTTTTTTTGGTTAAACCCAACATTTCACCAGAGAAACACAAAATTAACATGTTACCTAAGAACGTATGCTGTGAGTGGAGGAGTAAAGGAGAGATTTTCAATGAAACTACAAAATTGCTTTAATAAGGGGAGCAGTGATAGGACAATTGTGAGGGACTTATATTTAAGATGAAGAATAATGTTAGGCGATCACCTATGTATAGTGTAAACCTCCCTGGAGTAACCAGGAATCTCAGCCATAGCCTGAGTTTCTCATTGTTTCAGAGATACATGAACCTGAAGAGGCAAGGAGGGGAGCTATATAAAGACAGGTATTGCTGGTAGAAGTCTGGAGACCAGATATAAATCTGGTCTAACAAATCTAATAAAGCACACAATCATGCTTTCTGAGCATAGGCTTTTACCTATGCTTAGGCCAAACCATAATTTCAGGGGAAGAAGAATCAAAGCAAATACTCAGAGGGGAAAATCTGTTGAAGCCATGAACTTTTCACCTCTAACAACAAGTAATGACCACAGGGTGCAAGATCAGATGGTTGACTTAACTGCTGAGTAACAAAATTAGGCTAAAAGTTAGATCTAGTCTGCCCAGAGGCAACATGACAAATTAGATTCATCCACTCCCCATATTTGTATTAATGTTCTTTTGTATTAGTGAACAGATTATAAAAGAAGGCTTTGCCTCAAGGCAGGGTTTTTTGGCACTGAACTAATTTTCAAGCCGAGGTTCTTCCCTAAGGGCATGATAAGATCCTTCCTCCTTTGCAGTCACAGATCCTCTCCTCAGCAAAGGTTTACCTGTGAGCAGTTCTTAACACTTTGGAGCTTTAAAAACCTACAAATTTCTTTCTATAAAGCTAAAATGTATACTCTTGAGATGTGTTTTAATAACAATGAAATATTGTTATTATTTTTATTATCAGTTATCAGTATTTTTCTAAGATTATTCTGTTTCACTGTCAATATTAAAAAAAAATAATTAAAATCAGCTCTCTGGGACAGGCTCTGTAAACTCAGCCCAGCTCCCAGTCTTGGCTGGCAGTCAGTAGTAAGAATTGCTGACAATGCAACTGACAGTGCAATGGCTGCAGTTCATAGCCTCTCAGTCTTGCAGCCCTGTGAGCCCTTGATGTCGGTCATAAGTGTTTGTGTTTCCTGCACGAGGCCTCACTTTGCAGACACAGCTGTGTGGCATCCCTCTGACCTGGGAGAAAGCTGTGAATCAAGAATGCATTTCTTTTTCCTCTGAAGATGAAAGACTTTTAAAATTAATTGCATGACATTATGGTTTGTCTGTGTTGTCAGCTTTGATTTTGCTGTGACAAAATGATGGCCGTTCCCTGTCAGAGAGAGTGATGCCGTGCCTGTTAGCACTGCACTCATCAAGTGGCAGCAGCGAGGAAAGCATCACTGCCATCTCCATGGAAAGTAGTTTCACGGAGTGGGATGCCAAGGGTGAGGCGAGCGCAGATGTTACACTCACTCAGGGGAGCCGACCTGGCCACCACTCACTGCAGCTGGTGTTGGCTAAGCCATACCACCCACAACCCTGTGCCAGGTATCCAACTTCCTGACTGCATCCCTGGAATCAGTCCAAACTGCTGAGGGTGATACTCTCCAGAGGTGTTATTTTGAGTATTCAGAGCTAAATGCACAATCACTAGAACTAAAATCAGAGCTCTTAAAAGAACAGCTCTGCAGCTGCCTTTGCAGGGCTTGATGAAGCCAGCGGGAGCAGAAGCAGACGGAGAAAACCAATCATTTTTCCCTTTAGAGGGCAGTGGTGTTCATCGTACAACAGCCACATTTCTAAGGAGGTAAATCCCTTATCAATAACAACTGGGTCAGCAGCAGCAAAGCAGAGGCAAGTAATAGGGACCAGCACTGAAGCAGTGCTGCTGGTTGCACTGCACCGTACAGAACAGCATCTCACTCTGATATACTTTCTGTAATGCTCTGTGCAGAGGCTCATTAATTTCCCCTCATTTTCATGCACAGTAATCAGACAAGTAATTACGGTTCCACTGAGAGGCTTCCTTTCTCCCACCACACCATGAGCACAGTCCAGGGTGAAGGGCTCCCTACCGTCAACATTTGCCAAATTACAGCTTCTCTTTGAGCCAGATGAGCCCTTCCTGTGAGGTTTATGCCAACCCTGTTCAGAGAGCCAAATAAGAGATGATTTCAAAGGCAGTACTGTACCTTTTCATGGGTTTGGGTGAGGTCTCCCGCTCCAGGTTGGAGGACGCGTGCTTCACGTGCATGGCGTTGTAGGAGGTGTGGGTGTACTCGTTTTCATCACTGTAGTCGGGACCAAGTAACGTTCGAGCCCATGTGCCCATGTCGTAGGGAGGAAGAGTCCCCCCGAATTCGGAGGGCAGGCATTCAGGGTGTATTAGCTGGTGAAGACTGTTCAGGTTGTTACCGTGAAGAAAGATCTTTAACAAATAAAAGAAAGTTCAAAGTCATAATCGATTCCTTACTTCATTAAGCACAATAATAGCAGCACTAATGAGGTGTGGAGTGTCATTAGTTGACACTGCAGTTTCAGGTGGGAATTTCTAAAGCCCTCGGGGTTGGCTCAGTGGATGAGGAGGTGGGTATTAGCTTTGGGGTGGGCAGCTGAAGAGTTAGCCTGGTACTATAAACACTTCTGAAAACTCTGATTGCCTTGCTTTTAGCGCATGACACTTTCAATTTCTTAAGTGCCAGCTCAGGAGAAGCGGAAGTCAGGAGTTATGACTGATTATCGCTACTGTAAGAGGTTAGAGAAGTGAGAAGAAAAGGGTGACAGCGGAGCTTACTGAAAGTAGATGTGAAGAGTAGGTCTTCAGCATCTGAGAGGGCAACCAGCTCTGCACTCCAGGACTGACATTTCCCAGGGGTGTACCAGGCTGTGTTGCCACTTTGTGCTGCTTCAGCGCCATCTGTCTTTCTAATCCCTCTTTGCTTTCAGGCTGGTTCTACCCTTGTCCTGCCTAGTCAGACATAACTCAGGGCTGGCTCTGGGGCCTCCTGAGGGATGATCCGGTCATTGGTTGATAGACTGCAGAGAACAAATGGCTAAGATGACTACCAGACCACAATTCACGTGGGTTTCAGTGGAGAAGATCTGCCTCTTCTGCAGTACCAGAAAACAGCCTTCAGGCACGGGCATTTTTTTGTGGAAATGTGAGTTACCACCATGTGAAAACAGACAAGTTCCTGAAGGAATGAAATAGGAATTTTTACTCCAACAAAAAGAGTTGAGCTGAAGTTTCCTTCACTTGCAAGTAACTTCAGCCAGGCCTGATAATCCCTCCACACTGATGATTCTCTTCTATCCCTGGGCATGTCCCAGTAAAATGCATCTACACTTCGTTAGTGACAACAGGTTTCTGGTCTCTAACAGAGTTACTGATTTATTCCAGACCATTGAAAACCCTAAGGTTTAAAAACAGCAGCAATTCTCTGAGGCCATATGCAAAATGCAGAGAGAAAAAGAAGAGAGCAGGTAGCTACTCAGTTACTCCAGGTCTGCAGCTTCCTATCCACCCTCCATCACCCGACCCCCATCTAATTACCCTTTTCCTTGTCTTGTCTTTGAGAAACGGTTTGATTAGCGTGTACAGGGCATGGATGTACCAGGGCTGATTGACAAAATGGACTCCTCCAAAACGTGCAGGAAAGCTGTCCTATAGAAAGAAAGAAAGGCAGTTAAGAGTCGCAGCGCTTTACTCCGGCAGTCAATAGGATGAAAGTCAGAGGAATAATCTGCCTCTTTCCATCTGCAGACGAGCACTGGGCTTGCTGGGAGGGGGCAGAAGAAAAATAGAAAGAAAAAAAACCAACAAAAACAAAAACAGACGCCTGGAAACGCTTGTATCAGTTTCCTCTGTTGGCAGAGGCAGTCCCTTCACCCCTCCACACGCTGATGCATCAGTTGCCGATGAGATGCCTATGATTTAGAGTCGAGTCTCCAGCCACTTAGCATGAACGTTTTTTAACTCCATCAGGGCATCTGACTGGGCCGGCCTGGGAAGTGAGAGGGGGTTGATAAGCACCGCTCCCTCGAGGGGAAGCTTTCTAATTTCTCATTGTGCAGCGCAAGGCAAGCCCCCAGTTCCCACGCACATCGCTGCTCAGCGCTCACCTTTTCACCCTTCGGCCTCCCTGCCTCCCCCTGCTAAAATCATCATTACAATGGCTGACCTTTCGGGGTGAGCAAGCAGCTTATTACAGGGAGGAGGATGGGTGGGAAATGCTGATGAGTGAAGGTGTAGGGAGAGCGCACCATGACAGCACCATGGAAACTGCTGGAGCCGCGCTCGCTCTCGCTGCCAGGGTGAGCTCAAACACTCTCAGCATTAGTATGCATGTAACGTCCTGCTGGTGAGGTGTTCCCTATAGCATCCTACCCCCGCTCCGCCAGCCTGGCACGCTTCATAGGAGGTTGCTGGCATGTCTTTAAAGGTTATTGTATATTGTGAAGGGTATTTTGTACCTACGATCTTATCTAACAAATGTCAGTCAGGGAAGACCCTAGAATTTTTTTGCATTGCATAAATAATGGGACAACTGCTGCTCCCGTGTGCAAATACGCTTCCAGGGAGAGGAGAGAGGCCCATTTCTCCACTGTGAAAGGAGATTCTGATGAAGCCGTCCTCATCCTGTGTGTGCTCCTAACCCCTACAGCTCAGCATGTAAAGCAGAGCATAATCAGGTCTCTTCCTTCAGGGCTTTGGCTCTGGGATGCAGGTAGGTTCCTTCCCCCCACAATTAGCACAGTGTGTCCTGGGGTTTTCTCCCGCTTTCCTCTGGAGCATCAGATATTGAGCACAACTGGTGAGAATACAGGGTGGATTTGTGAGATGATATGAAAAATCCTCTTATACACCTGCTTGGTAGAGCTTCTGCGCTGCTTCAAGGTCAGTTTTTTCCCCAGGTTAGCATTATGTATGCATCCACCACCTCCTGTCATGCAGCGCAGATCAGCAGGACTCTCCATGCTTTTTAGCACTGGCTATGGATTGCCACGGCAGTCATCCTAAATGATACTCAGGTAATGTTTGTGAGCAGCCACAGGCATTAAGTAATACCTTTTTCTTTTTCTATACAGTATTTTGCTATACAGCTGCTTTCAACTCGGGTCAGTTGACCTGAAATCATTACAAGTCTCCATATTAGATGCTCTGTGAAAGACTATTGGGTAAGCAGGCCATCCTGAAGGAGGACAAGCAGTGCAACATCACAAGTGATCCCATTTTAAATTCTAGTAACTTGTGAATTGAGCTTTTAAGACCCCACCTTGTCTGGGGTCCTCACGTAAGAATGGTGTGAACCTGTTAGAGTGAGTCCAGAAAAGAACCACAAAGATGATCAGAGGATCAGAGCACCTCTCCTACAAAGACAGGCGCAGAGAGCTGGGTAAAGAGGGGTTGAGAGGACAGATTTAGAGTAGACGTTAGGAAGAAATTCCTTCCTCAGAGGGTAGTGAAGCACTGGAACAGGTTGCTCAGAGAAATTGTGGATGCCCCATCCCTGGAAGTGTTCAAGGTCAGGTTTGGTAGGGTCCTGAGCAACCTGATCTAGTGAATGGCATCCCTGCCCATGACCAGGAGGATTGGAACTAGATGAACTTTAAGGTTGTTTCCAACCCAAGCCTTTCTATGATTTTATTTTATGATTCTACGATTCTTTTTGAGGATGTTCTGTTGAGGTGTTCATTTGTAATAAAGATGACTGTATTTCCACTGCTATTGGAATATTCATTAGAATTTAGGGATGCATCTCTTACTGAGATAAATTACTGCAGTGCTGCAAGTTGTAGTGACTTCAACAGGGCTGAGTCAAGAAACAGCTGCAGAGAATCCGAGCCCACCTAGAAAAAACATGGCCTGACAGAAGTATGAAGTGAAGTCCAAAGCGATTTTCTACCGTGTGATAACCTAAAATTGTGTTTTAGAGCAGACCAGAGCCATAAAATGACCATCTCATGTAAAATTCACATATTTGGATGCCTTTCTCGCACATGGGAATGAAAATTTTAAGATTTGAAACTTTTCACAGATTATTCTAAAAAAATCTTAAGACAAAATGGAACGTTCCCTGTTTACCTTTGTTTATTTATTCATTTGTTTCACAGAATCACTTAATCACAGATTATGTTGAGTTGGAAGGGACCCACAAAGATCACTGAGTCCAACTGGATCCCTACAAATCTCTAGGGCCTGATAGGATTCATCTCAGAATCCTCTGAGAGCTGGCTGATGTCATTGCAAACCTCTCTCAATGGTTTTTGAGCAGTCTTGGGAATCCGGAAAGGTCCCAGTTGACTGGAAGCTGATGAACGTTGTCTTACTTTTTAAGAAGGGCAAGAGGGAGGACCCCAGAAACTACAGGCCTGTCAGTCTCACTTCAACACCTGGGAAAGTTATGAAGAAGATTATTCTGGGAAGTACTGAAAAACATCTGAAAAGACAATACAGTAATTGGTCAGCATGATTTCATGAGAGGAAAGTCCTGCTTGTCAAACCTGATTTCCTTTTATGAAAAAGTAACCCGCCTAGTTATCAAGGGGAGCCAGCTGACGTAATATTTTTGGATTTCAGTAAATCTGTTGATACTGTCCCTCACAGGATCCTTCTGGACAAAATGTCCAGCACACAGCTGGATAAACACATCATGCAGTGGGTGAGAAACTGGCTCACAGTTCAAGCACAGGGGTTAATAGCGAATGGGATAACATCAGACTGTCGCTAGTAGGGTCCTGCAGGGCTCCATCTTAGGCCCTGTGCTCTTCAACACCTTCATAAAGGACTTGGACACAGGACTGGAAGGGATGCTAAACAAATTTGCAAATGATGTAAAACTTGGAGAAGCTGTTGACTCCCTCGAAGGCAGAGAGACCCTGCAGAGAGACCTTGACAAATTAGAGGTCTGGGCAATCACCAACCATATGAAGTTCAGCAAGGGAAAGTGCTGGATTATGGCCCTGGGATGGGACAACCCTGGAGGTATGTACAGACTGGGGAATAAGACGTTGGAAAGAGACCTGGGTGTTCTGGTTGATGGCAAGCTGAATATGAGTCAGCAGTGCCCTGGTAGCCAGGAGGGCCAGCTGTGTCCTGGGGGGCATCAGGCAAAGCATTTCCAGCCAGTCGAGGGAGGGGATTGTCCTGCTCTGCTCTGCACTGATGCGACCTCACCCTGGATATTGTGTGTGGTTTTGGGTGGTATCATATAAAAAAGACAATAAGCTATTAGAGAGTGTCCAAAGGAGGGCAACAAAGATGGCGAACGGCCTTGAGTGGAATCCATATGAGGAGTGGCTGAGGTGACTTTTTGTTCAGCCTGGAGAAGAGGAGACTGAGGGGAGACGTCATTGCAGTCTACAATTTCCTCATGAGGGGAAAAAGAGAAACAGACACCGATCTCTTCTATTTATTTCTCTATTTATTTATATGTTTCTTATTAATTCTGTGTCTGTCAAACTGGCTGCCATCTCACAAGTTGTATCTCTAAGGAAGAAGTTCTACACACCTTTGCTCTTTGGGAGTAAATTGCCATAGCTGTTCCCAGGCTGAACTGTAGCAGCACAGGTCAGTGTAGAAGACATAGTCTGAGTCTGAAGCACAAAAAAGTAAATGAGAGATGGGAAGCAAGTAAATAACTTTAAGACACAGAAATTTATACCGACTCAAAAAAGAAAATTGTTTTGCCTTCTCACTGGAATGCACAAATTATATCAATCATAACCTTCGATGAGAAATGTCATTTGGACTTCATTTCCAAGGGAGAACCTGGGTTTTTTTGAACATGTTGACCAGCCTTAACAATACCATGTTACCCAGAAAGGTCTAAATACTGAGAACTACAGGAACCAGCCAGAGGTTTAAAATGGTAGTCTACCTTTGGAAAAGGTCGACTATGGAGCAGGATGTACTTTCCTATATAGAAAATTAATTTTATGTCCACTCAATACAGATTGTTGAGTCTATAAACTAGATTCTGTCTGATACATTTGTAGATTAAGTAGTACAGGAAAACCCATCATATAACAATTTTATTTAAAAGCAATTGCTTTCTTTTTGTTCTGAAAGTACATCCAAAAATGCACAAAGACCCTTGAAAAGGAAACATGATGGTCAGGAAAAATAACAAACACCAAGGAACATTTCTTTCTGTGTGTAAATTTCTGCTAGATTTTTTTCCTCACCCTATTAAGCACAATAAGCTCAATTTGACCTTCATCCCTCAGTCCACCTGCATTTGTAAGGCTGTCAATTAGAGCAAGGACAAAGACAATTTTTTTTTTTTAAAGCAAAGAAATTTGATGTGGGAATCATCCAAACACTATCTGGAACTGCAACATACTAATTTTACACGAGTCCCTAATTAGAGCAGAGCTGTCTTGGAAAGAAAAGCTCCTGTCTGGAGGTCTGCCTTGTGCAGCTCCAGGAAGATGTATGAGACGTTTCCCACACCCCACTCAGTGTCTCTGATGCTTTCCCTGGGGCAAGGTGAAAGTAGCTGAAATTGATTTTCTGCTGGAGAGCTTTTGCTTTTAGGAATTCTCTTTTGATTTCTCATGACTTGTGATTCCTTGGGAAGGTGTATTTTATAATGAGGTACATTTTTTGGAGTCAGCTGTGAAATGGACCATGGGATCATGGAGCCTTTTCTTGACCTGATT